TATCCAAGTATCCACTCGTAAACTATACAACACGTAAATGGGAAATTCAAAGTTCAATGTTTCGAACGCCAGTAGACTGTTCTTTCGCCCCAATTTTTATAATTAAGGGCTCAAAACATGGTTCGAGTAATCAAGGCTAAAATTATATAGAAATGATCTGAGGGGAAACAAAAACTACTTCGAGTAAGCGCGAGGTTAGAGTTATCAAGGGTTCAAGTTACCGACGGAAAATTACAGTAATATGTATGACGGAATTCCAGGGGGAATCGATTTTGGTTCGAGTTATCAATTAGCGGGAGGTTCGAGTTAGCGAGGGTTCGAGTTATCGGGAGTCAACTGTATTCACCAACCTCCAAATTCTACGTCGTGTTTGTCAGCTGAAGTGTCACAGCCGTTGGCGGAATTCCCCTTCGTAAACAATCGTTGCCATGTTTGAAGATCGGAGAAAATTTTTGACCTGTTACTGAAAGTGTTAAACTGACTCACCAATTTTCCGAAACATTTACCAATACATTCTTGAGTAATAAACTGCCTTCATATCTGATATATCATAACGGGACCCAAGACTTGGGCTTAAAGTTCGTTCTCTCTAAGAGTATAAAAAAAGTATTTTTTTTTTAATTTCTCATTGTAATTGTAACCTAATCCAGGGAATATATGAGATTTACCAGCAACTGCCATACTAAGCCACAGTTTATTTTTAGACACATTTTAGCGCACTTGTTCCCGCAAAAATAGAATCTCTGCCACATCTATGAGCGCAGTCCAAGTATAAGATATCAAAAAGGAAAACCCAACGTCACTTTTATCTACAAGTAAATTGATGGAGATTGAAATTTAATAGGCTCTACGCAGTCATATTTGGGGGAGGGAGGAAATACGACTCCCCTAACGCCTGGAAACGTCATTAGCCGGGGCGGGGGGAAGGGGGTGGGAATTTTATATTTGGGTTCGGAAATGAGGTGACCCATCCCTGCAAAGGGAGTGAAATTTGCTAAGGCAAGGAAACAGTACTGACTGTGGCAAAAAAATGAATCCCTTTATCGAAAATTAATGTTAACGATTAAGGAAGGTTTGTTTGCGCGGTTTACTTTCGTCAAGCTTTTTTGGGCACACAAGTACATGTAGTTGCTAATACGTTAGCTCGCATACGCATTGATACAAACGGTCATAACTTTTAATATACTGAAATTGCACATAGGGTTTTGTATATTATTAATAACAGATGGTCTATCTTTGCGTCTATTTTGTCTAGAGCTTTCAACTATCTCCCAAACGTCAGAAATAAGCTTTTAAAACAGGGTCATTTTTGGATTTTCGCTCCAAGGCAATTAGTCGGGGTCATATTTTGCTTGATTTCGTCTTTCCAGCTAAAGTTAGCGGATAACTATTACTTACAGGAAGAACTAGAGATGTTTACCTATAAATAGGTATAAAATTCATTGGTACTATGGTGCAAATCAAACATTTACAGCATCGCAAAAAATGCCAAATTTTCAGTTTTCAAGACGTGCAAAATGGCCGTGGCCGGCAGAACAAAATACTCGGCGCCTCCTCATCGTGGCCAGAAAATTATTGTTAATCAAAGCAAACCTATTTTAGTTATAGTCTCGATAAAGCCTATCACTCGCCAGACTTTCAGGCAAAATTATTTTTCACGCGGAATTGAGTGGACGGTTTTTACTGAGACAGCCTCTTAAAAGTTGAAAACATGTTCCGTGTTGCGCTGCGACGCCGCGTTACAAAAAGGTTAGATATCTTTGTTGTAGGGAAACCCTATGTCTATAAAAGAAAAGAAAAGAAAAAGAGGAAAAAGTAGAAGAAAAAGAAGAAAGAAGAGAGTAGAGCGATTTGTCCGTGCACGGTCTAAATGGGTGCCGCCGCTTCGCCGCCGCTTGAAATTTCATTAACGACATCCACGGTAATAAACATATATAAACAGCTATAAAATACTGAATCGGATTATCTTACACTCAGTGATAAATATTCTATGACATGACCACATTAATTTGCCTTTTCAGAAAATGTAAAATGCTTGATGTTATGTTACCGATTATGTTGTTAACCACATAACTGGCTACTGAAGTGAACATTTTGGTCGACTGTCGTCAGAAGTTCATCGAAAAAGTTTGAAAACAGGTACACTTTGTTTAAAAAGCTAAGGTTTTGGGGTGATGATAGGCAAGGGTTTTTATCGGCACATTTTTTTTGGATGAGTTAAAATTGCCATGGATTACTTTTAATAGTTCTTTTTTACCCGATGTGATGGTAGTTGTTTGTGTTAGAATTAAGCACCACACACAAAATCCACAGAGCAAAAAAAAACCAAAGCTCACTGAACAAACCGAAAAAATTAGCAAACAATTAAGACCGGCTGATTCCATTGAATCATCATATCTGCATTGTACGCGATTTTCTTCTGGCATGCAATTATAGGATGAAGCATTGGACATTATTGGAGGCAAGCATAGGACATTAGACGGGTAGAGCGTAAAATCATACTATTAGGGACTTGTCAGAAATTAGCAGGGAGGGGAGGGGGGTGGGAATTTTAAATTTGGGTTCGGAAATGAGGTGACCCATCCCTGCAATGGGACTGAAATTTTCTAACCTTGGCCTAAAATATCATGACCCTCCCCCTCTTGTATAAATGATTAAATCTAGTTCTTGCAGTACACTAGGGTGAGTCAGTATTATGAAAACTCAAAATAAATTATATTTCTAATCCGTTCTTTGAAATGCAATATACATACATTTTAGATGACAGCATTAAGCTGAGTCCGACTCTGATTCTGACAGCTGATCACTCGACTCTCCTATTTCTCCCAGGTTTTTTTTACAAAATAAAGAACTTCTTTTTTCTTCTGTGGGTGAACCTCTACATGATCACAGACACATATTTGCATGACCCTCCCCCTTTTAACGGCCCAAATTTTCATGACCCTCCCTTTTTTGCAGTCTCAAAAAGTTGTCACCTTTCCTCTGTTTCCACCCCCCTCCCCCCCTGCTAATTTCTGACAAATCCCTTAGAAGAATCATACGAATACCACAACTTGCACACAGTTACGTCTACGGGTGAGACACAGTTGCAACTTATACAATTCTGCTGAATGATAAAGCAACATTGAATGCAACTTTTACAAACTTCAAACACAAGGTTAACTTTAATTTGCAACTCAGTTTCAAATTCAAAATTTTTGCCATTTTATTAAACGCCTTTGTTGTTAGTAATGCCTTCCTCAAACACAGTTTTATTGCAGTTTTCCACAACTTCCGTAGTTGCCTTTCTTCAACTGAGTGATTCATCCGTTTTATTCATTTCATACAGATCGTTTAATTTGCATATATTTTGCATATTTCAGGGAAAAGTGTATAATTTCGCACTTGTCTGTAATCAAGGCTTTTCCAAAATTTTTAATCTCTTTTTATAGTCGAATTTTCAATGCCAAGACAGGTCTATGAAATGTGGAAGTTTTTTTTTTTATCTTGTCGCCAATTTGTAGTAGAATTACATGATGCTTTGAAGTCACACCTGCTCGCATTTCTCTCCATCACGGTATTTAAACCCGACTGATTACATGAATATTTTTATCGTTAGCACTCTTCCGTCCTTTCCCAGTTTGCGTAACAATTTAAAATTCAACTTAATTTGCTTCTTTGATTTTGATTTCAGGAGTTGAGTAGGATTGAAAATTGAAACCCGTCAAACATGAACAACAGCTCAAGTGCAGCTATCAAACTTCAAAATCAGCTGGAAAATCAAGGATTGAGACAGATGATCAAGACTCTTCCTATCGCCATAGCAATAATTGTTACAAACGGACTCGTGTTTTTCTTGTTTTATAAACGAAAGAGCCTGAGCATCAAGTCTAATTACCTTCTGCTTGGGCTAGCGGTCTGCGACTTTCTGACAGGCGCAGTAAACATTCCATACTTCATTATTTTCTCTTTCAATGTGGTACCTTCTCGGATGTTTGATCAGTTTGCCTTTTGGATGTACGCCCTTCACACCCTTACGGCTGTTTCGGCAGCTTATCACATTCTTGTCATAACTGCAGAAAAGTTTCTGGCAATTGCTCAGCCACTGAGACATCATATAGTCACCAAAAAGGCAGTGTTCAAAGTATTAGCGGGAATTTGGTTCATATCAGCTTTTATCGCTATAATACCGGTCTCTTGGCGGAATGCCAAATCAAAAAGAATTGCCTTTATCATTCATTCTTCCTTTTGCCTCGCTCTCGTATTCTTGGTCCCGTATGTATTTATGGTGTACGCGTACACGGTGATGTTCAAAGCGGTCAGCGGTAGAAAGAGGCCATCACAACATGGACACAAACAGCGACTACAAAACAAAAACAAAACCGACCGAAAGTGTATCTTTGTATTTGCTTTGATGGCGGCAATATATCTGTGCTGTTGGCTGCCGTATTTCACACTCATCTTAATTATTAACATCAAGACTTATAGCAAGTCCAACGATTTAGTAGCTATAGAGAAAGCTACGGATGGTTTCGCAGTTATTAGATACATAACATCGGCAACGAATCCATTACTCTACATCTTTTTCAAGCGCGACTTTTGGATAGCCTTGCATGGTACTTCGGTAAGGAGAAACTCGACTTTCTCTGAAAATAGCACACTGACGAAGAGAGTACAGTTTTCGTTGAGATGCCTTTCAGTAAAACGCCAATCAAGACCGTTGGACAGCTCTAAGTCCGCTAACAACACCGAACTCTCCCACCCCCAGTCAACCACAGCCGGTGACAAAATATAAGATTAAGAAAGAGAGAAACATGACGACTTTTAAGTACATTGCTGCAGCAAATGCTGCTTACATTATCGCCTCGTGGTTCGAAGGAAACGCACAAAACGTTTCCGGGGTTGCTACCTTGACGAGTACCAGAAATACAGAAATAAAATAAAACCACCGGAGAAGCCTTCTTCGACAGTTTTGAATGAACACCTGATGGAGTTTTTTTGTCATTATCAGATCATTTACTCGCTGATATAGTCGTGATAAGGGAGAATAACGGAGCCAGAAAAAATTTCTTTATCAGAAACAGGAGCCAATCTTGTCTTATTAACGTATTACTGAGTCAGTTAGAATAGGAGGAACTTTGTTCAGTTACATTTTTTGCCTCATTTATGCATGCTTATCATTATCTGATTTAACTATTAAAATAACATTTTTGAATATCGAAAGAGCACAGCAATATTAGTAATCCTTGGAAATTTGAGCTTGATATACAAAATCACTCGGTTTTTGCCACGCAGCAACTCCGTGTTGCCTGCGCTGTTCAAGGTCACTTCGGTCGCGCATGGACATGAGTGTACAACCCAAAATTTGTCGCGTCTTGCTTTTGAGCATAACCATTGGTAACAAAAACATTGTCACTTAAAATGTGCTCATCATGGTCCAGAGGGAGCTAATCGCACGTGTTTAAAGAGCTAATGGGTGTGCAGGTTATTGTTTAATAAGTAGGTTCTTGCAGTTATTGAATATTAAATATTACGTTTTTTGTTTAGTTTATATTCTTCTTGCTGAAGAATTTACCTGGTGACACGGCTTATACAACTTCAATATAATTCAGCCATTATGTGAATTAAAGTAACAAAGAAGTTTACGATTTTGTAATGTCACCAGTTGTGATGTGGTTTTTAAACGTTTAGGCTCAGTGCTGTACAGTCTCTGAGACACGTTCACGAACATAATGTGCTCCGTCTCTGCTGTTTGTTCACAGCTACAAACCACCTTGCTGAAGAAAAAGCAAAGCAAGACGGTTCGGAAGTTTTTGGTTATTGCTTTCAATCGCGTTACATGTATTACGAAACTGATCGGCTCAAGTGGGTTCCTATGGGCTCGGCGCAGAACGCATGTTCCCCAGTAAGAAAACTTCAACTCTTTTGTCAGTCGGTTGCCGTTGTATGCAGTCTTGAAGTTTTTAGGTGTTACATTCACCCTCGTTGCCAAGGTTCCTTTCTACGAGAGAGAAAAACTTGGGAGCAAGGATGCGCCTGGTGATGTAGCTATCACGTGGGAGACGCCTGCTATTCACGTGCTAGGAAATGTCAATATCTATGCCCTTAGGTTGCCATGGGATGCAATCTTCAACATTTTCAGGTGCGAAATTCTCCGGGAAAAGAATTCTCTGGAAACAAGAAGGCGTCCAGTACTGTAGCGATCACGTGGGAATCGCCTGCAGTTCACGTGCTACGAAATGTCAATATCTATGTCCTTAGGTTGCCATGGGATACAGTCTTCAACATTTTCAGGTGTGAAATTCTCCGGAAAAACCGTCGGTGCAATGGCGTCCTGTGACTGAAGAGAATACTGTGCAGCTAGCATCCCTGCTTTTACGCATAAAACTGGAGGCTGGCCTCGGATTATGAAAGAAGCCATTGCAGCAGCAAAGCTGAAAATTACAAGAAAACAGCAATCAGGAGAATTGTAAATTAACTTTTATGCTTTTAACAAAAACTTGTGAAATATACTATAGTTAATTATAACTTTCTGCTGATTCACAGTAAGCACAGCTTAAAAGTATTTAAGAAAGCCGCAAGGCAAGAAATTTCACGATTGTAAATAGCTATCAATATCTGTTATTATTATTATTATTATTTTATTTTTAGTTATACCTACAATCGGCGACAAAATGAGTTGAGACACTTCGCCCAAAAGTAGGCTTTTTCACGTTTTATGAACTTCAAAAGGAGGAAATATAGCTTTCCTCCCCCATCCCCTCCGTACAATGTTGGGCCCTTGTTCTAGCTACCTATAGAAAACAACAAACACCCCAACTTTGAATGGAGGGGACAGGGGAGGGGTGCGGATTCTATTGTTCTCCGAAGTCAACCTATTTAAGTACAATGTCTCAACAATTTTGTCGCCGATTGTAGCCTTATATAATTTTTTAGTAGATTATTAAGTATTTTTCTTGTAGTTTATATGTATATTTTTTCCTTGTAATTTAAAGTCTTATCATTATTGTAAATTGACCAATAATAGCCTCTTGGGACTGGTTAATAAGTAATGGTAACAGGACTGAGTGGAGTCCAATTCGGTTTGTAATCATACGAGTGATTGACAAAATCGGACGACCGCGTAGCGGGAGTCCGATTTGTTTAATCACAAGTATGATTACAGACCGAATTGGACGACACGAAGTTCTGTTACCAATTAATCATAACTTTGACAAAATTTGTGATATATAGGGCTCTTTTTAAATCAAAATACAAGAAAATCCAAGATTTTTTCCCTAGCAATGAAAAAAAAAAAAAGCCATTTAAGCGCGCACCTGATGGCGCGTACTGTCCAATTACTTAGGCATGACGCGTACTGGCCTATTAAACTGTCCTATTAAGGCTGAAATCAGGGCAGTTGAGAACCAATCAGATTTGAGAATTTTGTTATTAGAAAGATAGATAGATAGAAACTTTAAGCTATTAAGCTATTATATCGTATTGTATTCTCAGTTCTAATTGCATTCAAGCATTTTCGTTTCTGATTGACGCAAATCTCTCAAATAATTCTGCATAACCGGCTAGCGTTGACCAAATTTGGAAGATGCTTAAGATTTTGGTACCAATGACGTCAATTGTACAGAATATTGACACAAAAAGGGACGGCAGCCGAGATGTCCCTGGGGACAAGATTAGGCTTGAGTAACTCAGCAAGAAATTTGGGTTTTGGTAGAGCTAGGACAAATGGCGGAAAATTTCACACATTTTGCGAAGTATTAGCCAAACCACTGCCCAAAAACATGGCAAGAACAGCAAAAATACAACTCGAAGGATGATAACTTCGTTTTGAAGAATATCTGTTAGACTCATCATTCCGCCCAGGTGTCCCGCCTCTATCCGTCTAATATCATACAAAGTGAAAAAAATGAACATGACCTTCATAGCAGAATGAACGCTTTTTAGGTTGTTCATTCTACTGCGAAGATCATGTTCACTTTAGAATTTTTCAATGGATTGTGAATTCCAAAACTAGTATATCTATGAACTTTCAAACATCCCCGTATACAGACACCAAAAGAATGGCTATTGGAGGGGGATGGTGTCGGACGCTATAATGGTAAAATACATCCCAACATCTTACCTGTCACCTGCGCCTGTGACGTTACCATTTTGCACGTGACCACCTGGGGCCGAGGCGGGAAAATGCCGCGCTGACACTAAACTGTGTTGCCGCGTTGGAGCGTGACTTGAAAAATGAGCCGTCGGGAATGGAGTATCAGCGGTAGTATCTCTACAAACCAAGGCTCCATGTTTGCCTAATGTAACTATTACGCAATGTATGTGTTTCAAGAGCGGTTTACATAGAGTTAAACACTCGGTGATAACACTGTCCAATGAACGATCTTTATCAGTATCCTCGTCCCCACTGAGGTTTCTTGACTGTTCTTGTTGTTGTTTCATTAATGTAGAGTTAATTGATCTTAGTTCCTTTATATTTGGTGATATATAAGTTATATTATGCCACGCATCAGAAAGAAAAGGTTTCTCTGCTTTCATTAAGCACGTAGGCTCGAACCAGACTGTCATAAAAACAAAATAAGGGTGATTAATAAAACATAAATATGAAATGCGAATAGAAATATGCCTGGCGGTTACTAAATACACTGTTGACCCCGCCTACAGTAGAATGTGTGCTAATACTCACCAAGGAACTACACGATTGCTGCACTAGAAAGCTAAGGCCCGTTTCAAACGTCGTGCTACTGCCGTGCCGAACTCAATTGATCGAATTAAATTCGACTTAAGCACGGCAGTAGCACGACGTTTGAAACCAAGTCGTGCTACTGCCGTGTAGCACGGCAAGCCTTGCCGTGCTACACGGCAGTAGCTCGACTTGGTTTCAAACGTCGTGCTACCGCCGTGCCGAACTCAATTCATAAATTATAAATACATTAGAATACATTTAAAAGTTTGCTAAACCGTTTCTTTATTTTTGTGTTTTGTTTTCAGCAACAGCCGTTCTATTCGACTGAATTAAATTCGACGTCTGAAACCAAGTCGTGCTAGTGTCGTGCTGAAGTCGCGCTAAAGTCGAGCCAGCTTAGCACGGCAGTAGCACGACTTTTGAAACAGGCCTAAGAGTAGTTTAGAACATGGAATGATCTTGTAAACAACATAACCCAGTCTATAAGGCTAGTACTTCACCCCGAAACAAATAACCTTAGTATACCGCCTTCCTTATAGTTCCTAGGGGAGAGGAGATAATAGCTTATGAGACTTACGATTAAGCGCGCACACTCTTGGTTGCCTTGTAGCACAATGTTTGATCGTTTGAAATGGAATCACAAAGACATGGTACATTTATTTATCGCTCATGTTCCCCCTGGAACTAGTTCGGAATTGAGAACTTATGATTTTGACTTTCCGTTTGATTTCTTTTTTACCTGGAATATGATTGGCTGCACAGAAGCTACACGCATGATCAATAGCTTCTTGGGTGATATTGCCGTCCAACATCAGCAGGGAAGCGTGTTTGATTGGTTCCTCAAAAGCTGAAATCTAACAGTAAGAACAAGACAGTAGTAAGCGACGGTCCTTTAGCAACTAGCCAATCAGCGTTAAGCATTGAACCCATGTGACCGAATTCAACCAATGAGCCTTTTCCACCTTGTGCCACTCAAAACACTTCTTTCAACTTCACAGTCCCTCGGGAGTTTACATCAGGGTACAAAATTACGAAAAACGTTTGAGTGAAAATCAATAAAAAATACACGAGAAATTCCAATAAAAATATGAAACACAAATAACAAATATAAAGAAAATGGAAAAAATTGGCTGAATTATGGAAAAAATATCAAGGAACAGACTTTAAAAACATGCAGAATTTCTCAAAAGATTGGTCCAGAAAGATTACCGTCACAGTCCCCGACATCTAGCGTGAGGTTAATAATTGTTTACCGTCCTCACTATCTACTTGTCGTCAGATAACGCATATACATCGTGTGTCTTGATCCTAATACCATTCACTGTGCCAAGCACCTCTGCCCTTAACATTAGGGGGCTTAATAAGAGAGACGGCAGCGAAAACGTCACCTTAAAAGGGCACTCGCTTTCTTTTAAACTTAATCGCTACTTAAAAAACGACAAGTAGACATCGGGCGAATCGACTAACGTTCCGGCGAAACAAATTCGGGGGAATGAGCCTGTTCAGTTACCGCAATTACCGTATTTATTCGATTAACCACCCTGAGCGCTTATTAAATTTCTGGACCTTGAAAGTGGGCGCTTATTCGAGGCTGTGCGCTTATAAAATCTTCACTATTTTCAGCAAGTTTAGTATGTTAATTTTGCAACAAAACAATAAATGGTAACAACAAAACGCGAAGATGCAAAAAAGCAAGGTTTCTGCAAAATACTCTGAGGAAAACTCCGTCTTCGGTGAAGTCTCTCTTATTTTAGTACTTATTCAATTTTTTTTTGTTTTGGTGAGAGGGGAAAGGAGGGTTGGGTGGGGGTTGAAGCTTATTAACTTTTTCTACCTTTGGGATGGGCACTTATTCGAGGTGGGCGCTAATTCGAATAAATACGGTATCCCAAAGCACTAAATACGTCAAAGGTAGGCATATTTTTGTAAACTGAGTTCTTAGGGTGGAAGGAAAATTCACCGCCTTATGTTCACGACCTCCTTATAACGTTATATTAGCATTTTTCACATTGTACTCATGCAGCATAGGAAAAAGTGATGTACTAAAAAGCGTGATGCATGTGCAAAGGTTTTTAAGTTATTGGTGTCGTCACCGTCGTGACATCTTTAATTCCCTACTCGCTCGCAACTTACATTATCCGGTGTGATAACTTTATGAATATCCATATCACCAACAGCCACATGATATTCGCCATCTTGACTCAGTATCGCTGAGTAAGTACCAGTGTGATTTACTTTAGATGTATATATACCTCGCGTAACCTGGGAGGTGAAAAAAAGGTAAGTAGTTATAGAGCTTAAGAGGAGAAGGGGGTAGAACGAGTAGTCTGTACGTGTAAAATATTCCAAACAGCGAGCTACCCGGAGACCAGGCGCACCCAACGACGGTTTCCTCTTAAATACATTGATAACACTTTTTCGGCTATCCAGAGTACTTTTAGATGTTTAGAAATGTATTCTAAGCGGCACTATAAAATTTGCATCTGTTCGGTCGTCCTAGGGGTACTCGAGTCTTCTCGAAATTACAAGGGCTTAAGTATTACTTTTCCGAAAATTTTAGGATGCAATTTGACGTATTACGAAAGTGAGAAATTTTCTGATTTCTCCCTCCATTGCATTTTTGAGTCCGAAAAGTTTAGGTTTCCTTTTCTCTACGAAAAATAGCCTAACTTGGGAAGTAAAATGTGAAAAATAAACTTCAGAAAATCATAGGGAATTTCTTACATAAGCTTTGAAAATTGTGCATGAGTGGTACGGTCATCTCGAAATTTTTAGCCGTCCTCAAGTAACAGAAATTTCTAGGCAATATTTGCTTCTCCGAACAGATATTTCACAGAAAACAGTCGTTGGGTGCCCCTGGGAGGTGCAAGGGTTGGCAATTGACCCTTCACAGAAGTTTTTCAACTATTGAGATGGACCAGTTAGGGAAAATCTGTCGCGACTTGTATGCTGGGGGGGGGGGGGCACAGACGTCCCCCCGCCCCCCACCATACAGACGTCAATAAAATTTCGCCACTTTAAGGACGCTTCCCACCATTGTTACTGCGCACACTTTCTGTGCATTTCGGGACTTCCCCGGCGGGACCAGAACGTGCGGGTTAACTTTCATTTACTTTCGCAATGCTCTTTCGCAACATTGGCTTTTGCGCTTTCTAGATACACTGGAAGTAATGACTCCTAATGCAATGGACAGGAAAAGAAAACACAACGGGAGATTCATCTCTACCAAAAGCAAGCGAAAAAGAGTTTCTTTCAAACTTGGTAGCCTGTTCCATGCGTTCGGATAGTGGAGTGCGCCGCGAAGGAAGAGAGCGAAAAAAAAATAAGGAGAAAAACAGGGAGAGAGAAAGCATCTTTCCTACCCGGGGGAGGGACTCCGCGTATGAAAGGGGTGGGGATGCTCGTCGTGTCGCTTAGGGGTGTAAATTTCGGATTTTGGTCTCACTTAGGGTGTTCTGGGCAAAACGCCATCATATTTAGCCGTGAAGGTCTCGTTTAGGGTTCACGCCAAAAAATATAAAAATATAACCTATGACGTGGACGCTTTTAGGGGACAAAAAAGCTTGGGCCACGCCCAGATAGGTCTCCTTTAGGGGTTTAATTCAAAATTTCCCACGAGCATCCCTACCCCTTTCATATGCGGAGTCCCCCCCCGCCCCCGGGCTTTCATACTGCCACGATCAGCAGTCTTGTAGATGTACTTTTAACGATCTTTAACTAAAATAATGATAAATGAAAAGGGTAAATTGTACGGTTATTGTTTTACGAAGAACATGAGGTTATAATTGCCATGTCACAGAAGTCAGACAAAGCAAATATCTTACGTCCCCGGCAGGTTTTGAACCTATGAGCCCACGAACACCGGGGTGGACGCTCTACACAATAAGCTATGGGGAGCCGGTAAGGGGCTACTTTATTACCATGTTAACTTCTTCGCAGTGTTTAAGCATCATAACTCCTAGAGGGTCTGTTCCTACCGCAGATATAAACACAGGCTTTGACCCCAGACGAGCCAGACATTCTGTAGACAAAAAATATTAAACTACAAGCAGTACAGCCAAGCCGTTAAACAATAACAGTACCCTAACAGAGGAAGTCAAATAACATACATGTACCAATCACGATCTACTTCATACATTCACAACATCAGCAAAAATTCTTTGGGTCACCGACAAGTTTTTAGCATATCCAATGTACACAATTTTCGCCTCATCTCAAACACACATACAGTGTTGTTGAAACTAGAGAATAAGCTTGCGGATATTACTAATGCTTTAAATTACCTGCTAGGTTTCTTCCTACTCCACCAAAACTCATCCTCACTTGTCCAGGATTGGATGCTTCAGGCTGTATACATGAAAAAAAGGTATTAAGCTACCGGGGATGGAACAGATGTGTCAGTTAAAGTTTCAGTAACCAGTGAAATTACAGGTAACTAAAAGATGTTATAAAAGTCCTTAACACCAACATACAGAGATAAAAGAAAACTACACTTACAATAATTTTCTCAGCTGTTGCAATAAAATCTACATTGGATCCACCAATGACAACCTCAAAAAAATAAGAGAGACAAAAAAATTACAGCAAAAACAGACTTCAGTTAGTTCTCTTCGCAAAGAATTAAAATACAATAATGATAGACTGCATTTATTTAAATTCTTTTTACGAGAAGTAACAACCACCAGGGGTTCCTGTGTTCATGTTGACTGCCCAGGGATAGCCATCAGATAACCTAAGCTGTGTGGCACTAAGTATATTGACTTACTGGTCTTTTTAATGTTCTCCATTCTGTGGTTGAATCTGGCTTCCCAGCTGGCAGCTTACTTTTAACATTCTGTAAAGAGGAATGATAATGACCATATGGTTTCAAAAATTCAAACCAAAGATTAAATTTGAACCACAACAGTTACACTCCATTGGCTGTTGGCCGAGGTAACATGCAAAATGAACCCATTTTTGTGTCTCTTCCAAGCTACACTTACCACATCTTTGTTTTCCTTGAGTTTACGTAATCTGCAGAGTTCAACAGCAATTGAACTTCCTATTTGGCTATTGTTTTTTATAAGTGCTATATCTGAGAGTGGTAGTTAAGGCCTTACACTTGTTGGTAACACAAAATGGCAAAAACAGCTTACCGTTTAATGTAAATGACCCAACAGATGCACGCCAACTCCCAAATGAAGGCTTCTTATCTAAAAAATGCCCCCTCTACGTTGTTAAAATTGTATTAGTCACCCCTCTATGATAAACGCACCCAGTCTAATAGATGCCCCCTATGAGAATTACTCCAAAATACTAGGAATTAGCAAAAAGGAGAGAAATCATTTAATTCATTCATTTTTTTGCTTGATTAACAAGGCTTTGCATATTTTCTTCTTGTTCAACGTCAGGTTGAAAATACGGATAGACTAACGATGGCAACTTAATAACCCTGATCGAGGATTCATCGATTTTGGGATTTGAAAGAGTGAGATAGATCACTAGATGGCCAAAACATATGATGGAGTGGATATCCTGCTATTCTTAAACTCTCTTGATATTTTTGCCGAAAGCATACTATTTAATTAATTGTGAGAATAACCGCCTCTCTATTTCAAACCCTGCGCCTGTTATCTATCAAACACCCCCAGTTGGACTCCTAAAATTTCAAATTCACAAAATTAAAAATGCCCCAGGCATTTTATAAGGCAATTTGCAGTTGCTGAGTACCACCAAATTTCCATAGGCAGCATGATAAGTGTGCAACTTAAAGTTTTAAAATTAAGATAAAGAAATGAGTTACAAGAAAACGTCAGGGGTAACTTAATTTAAAAATTGCAATCACCCTTTAGATGCATGGACATGCTGCAAGTACATTGAACATCCATGATCATGAGGCACTTGGATCTTGGATGGAGATTGTAATTATTTAATAATAATTGTATTAAGACAATACAAATCAAGTAAGAAAAAAAGGATACTGGCTTGAAGTGATCGTCCTTTTGTAAGTTCATTCACTCTGTTCAGCACAAAAGGTGTCACTTCCTTGCCTAAAACACCTTGATCACTGTAATGTTAAATGCATGAACTTCACAAAATTAACACAAAGAATAAATCTAGTTAACTTGGCCCTGGAAGATACATGTCATGGCTCACTTTTCTGTTTCAGTTCATTATCATACTCAAACACAAAGGGATGTCGAAATAAAGTTGAAACCCAGGATAAAATGAAATCAACATTCCTGGTCAATTTTCAAGGACATTCAATTTTTAAGGACATTTCCTTGAACCACTGATAAAATTAATCAATAAACAACTCATAATATTTAGTATCCAGATTTTTAATTCTGCCTCTCCAACTTGGGCCAGATTAAGTCATCAATGAGAAATTGTGTTGCTGCATTCAAATAAATAGAAGTGCATTTTAATTATTAAGGATGGTATGCAGTACCAAAAAAACACCTGTCATCATGAATCCTCTTTAAGGCATTTATAATTATCTACTAGGAAAATTCACACCCAGTTTTTACCTTGCTTCTTGTAAGGCATATTGAATGGCTTTCTCAACTTCAGCTCCAGATGCAGCATGCTCTTTTGCTATTGGAACAGCTATTACAATTCCACTAGTTGACCCAAGGGATAAATTGGCATCTGAATCATTTAAACAACATCAAAACATCGGTACACACTTGTCAAAAATGCCACAAATTTTAAAGAGACTATTAACAGGCATAAGTTACAATTATTTCTGTCGGAAGACTAATTGATAGCCCATTCCACAGAGGAAAACAGCAAAATTTATGCAATCAAAACATGCGATTGACTGCAAATAATGCATATGCTGGCTGTACTTGATGAGGATTACGCCTACAACAGTATATGCCGCATGAGGCATGTAACATTTTTTGCAACTCTTTAGAGGAAAATTAGGGTTGGCACACTTTGGTTAGTGCATGGCCTTCTGTGCATACAGGTCCCATGTTCAATACAGTCCAGGTGTGACCTGAAATCCTTGTTTCAATTTTTTTCTTTAAATGTGGCCTTAAATACCCTTAAAATAGAGCACGCCATTAGCTTCAGGTTTATCAGTATTTTGATTACTGTTGATGTGTTAGTACCCCATGTCAGTATATAAGGACCTTTAGATAACCTTTTTTTACCATTAATGCACTGACAATTTCATGACTGTAATTTGCAAAGTGTTTGATCTTACCAATTAATTTAGCTGCATCCACAGAAGATTGTACGTTGTATGGAGACTGCAAATATTAATTTTTCAAGAAGCAGGTTGTTAGAGCAGACAGAGCTCAACTGGACAGGGTGCAAAGAAATTTTAGTTACTTTTACAGCTTGTCCTTCGAGCGAGCTGTAGCTAGCAATTCAGGATCAGTCATTTTAACTAGCTTGAAAAAAAAAAAAATTTTTATAAGCAGGATTTGATTACCGGTACAGTTCTTCTGTAATTTGAACCAGCACCAAAAAACTTCACTTGCCGATTAGACAAGTTATTATAGAATAGAATTTACATGTACAAGCTTGATAGCAAAATTTACTTAAAGCAAGTGCTGCAGGACTGACTATAATAAGCATTAAAGCATTAAATTTGAACTTGCTACCATTATCAATTGCAATTTCCCCTTTTTGTCACCTCAAGCAACATTTTATTTCAACAACTTTAACTCGTCACTTTGTTGGATAAAGATTTGTTACAAAATACTGCACAAAAACAATGTCAACTGAAAATTAGTTTGGGTGACTTGCAACAACAACAGTTTAAAACAAAAATCAGAAAGCACACATGTAGAATATTAACATATAGGAGTTTTCCCTGCAGTTCAATCCCAGACATTTCCATGCATTTAACATTTTGCAACATTTTATAGCCTATTGAATCAGAGCTGCTAATTGCTAGCCACGTAATGTGGGAAAGAAATAGGAACAATTACAGGTACCGTATTTATTCGATTAACCGCCCTGGGCGCTTATTAAATTTTTGGACCTTGAGAGTGGACGCTTATTCAAGGTGGGCGCTTATTCAAGGCTGGGCGCTTATTAAATTTTCACCATTTTCAGCAAGTGAAGTATGTTTATTTTGCAACAGAACAACAAAAAGCTAATAAGAAAATGCGAAGAAGTAACAAAGCAAGGTTTCTGTAAAATACTCTGAAGAAAACTCCGTCCTCGGGGAAGTCTCTTAGTAGAATTTATTCACTAAAGTGGGTGGGGTGGGGGTAAGCGCTTATTTGAGTTTGATTTTGAGGAGGCTGGGTGGGCGCTTATTCGAGGCTGGGCGCTTATTAACTTTTCCTGCGTTTAGGATGGGCGCTTATTCGAGGTGGGCGCTAATTCGAGGTTGGGCGCTTATTCGAATAAATACGGTAGTCAAGAATACTGGCAGAACTCTTTCAAATGTGCTAATTTGTAATAACTGTAGCATTCCCTGTCTACAGTTGATCATTACAGTTTTATCATACAAGGAAAACTCTAAAGGTATTATCTTTAAACACAAGTCAGAATTACTGATTTAAGGATACACCACCTCTACAAAGCTAATAATAAACAAACAGATGCATGACTACACTAGCTATCAGTAACCTTAAATCCACTTTGAGGTGTAAAAAAAGCAGGAAAATCCAGTGTATCTCCGTATGTGGCCACTAGAACTCCCTGAGTCTCCTACAAAAATAATTAAAAATGTATAGATAGGTAGATAGACAGACTGACAGACAGACAGACAGACAGACAGACAGACAGACAGATAGATAGACAGACAGACAGACAGACAGACAGACAGACAGGACCTACAATCAATAAATTCTTCCCAAAACCAAACAACCAGAAGACACAACTTACTAAATACTCCAGTGTCAATCCAATGTCCAAAATAGATTTTGCTCCAGCACAAACTATCGCTACTGGTGTTTTACCAAGCTCTGTCAAGTCAGCACTGATGTCAAATGCTGTCAAAATACAGTTCGGCAAACTTTAATGTCACGGTTAATGGGAGATAAAACTTCTCAATGTCATAATTCTTCAGAAGAGAAAAAAACTGTACAAAACAAAGTATAAAAAACGTACTTGACTGAGCTCCCCTGTGCACACCACCAATACCTCCAGTAACAAACACTGGGATACCTGTGCTGTTAGCAGCAATCATTGTACTGGATACTGTGGTAGCTCCTGTTAGACCCTGTAAAGTTCAAAATAATGTTATCATACAACACATTTTGTAATAAAATTTCAGCAGCAACTTTTTTTAGAAATAAAAAGATATTAAGAGGAAATCTTAAACAGCTGATGTAAAACTATCACCACGTGAATAACTTTTTAGACATTCCCAATGGATGTTAGATTTGATCCTACAAGTACAGTTATTCTCTGTCAATGCGTGAAAAACAGGCTTTGTTATCTTGCTAGTAGATGCTTATAAATTCACACAAATTTTCATTCTAAAACAAGCCAATAGAGGCTAATTGTATTTGCATCACATAAGGGTAACATGACAATTAACTTAACAATTTAATGATGTCTAAATGCTAATCCAGACCTTGCTGATCACGTAAGGCAAGTCCCGTCTTGATGTTTTTAAAGCGCTGGTGTCTTGAGCAAGCCTCTCTAAATCGTCATCAGACAAACCTTTCAAAGACATGAACAAACAACAACCAAATTAACTTACAGTGTACTAAATATTCAAATTATGTGACTATTTCATATCCCCACTGAGTGCAAAACAAATGACAACTGAAGGTGATTGCTTTTCCCTAAGGGAGTTTTCAAATATATGACACTTCATTAAATGTCAATCAATGGATGGATAAAGGTGTAAACATTTGTATATTAATTTGCAAAATTGTACCATTTTGAAGAAATAAAAGTCATCAATATATATAGCAGTGTAAGTGGATCCTTTTGTGTTTTTTCTGTTATTAAACAATATTAAATAGTATAGATGAAGCCATGCCTGCAAGAAGTAAAAATCTTTTTTGTACAGTACATACCCACTTGTATTTTTCCAGCCATTATGGCCACTGTGGCTGGTACTGCCCCATTGCTTCTCACAATTTTTTGTACATCTTTTGCAACTCTACAAAGAAGTATTATTGTAGCATCAGTAATTCATAAAAATGGAACAATACACCATTATGATTATTTAGCATGTTAACTTATTTTAACCCCCTTAATAAGGGATTGCAGGTCTTCTCCCCTTGAAAGAATAAAAGGCATGCATGTTGGACAGTAGCATGTGGCATGACATTGCCTGGGGGAACTCAGAATGATTAAGATGATGATGATGTGTAGTCACTTATCTCCAGACTGAGGTTTCATTAAGCCTAGCTTTGGACAGTTGTTTTGTTTTACTTGGGACTTGCTAACACTGCATACCATACGACGGCATACAATGGGACACAGTTCTTATTTCTCCCCCCTCAGTGATGGTCACCACTTTTGGTACACAAGGTGGAATTCTGGAAACAAGTGCACTGGTAGTAGATGTAAGAATGATTGTCACTAGCACAGCTTTTGGAAGTTTTGTAATACAGTGCAGCTGTAATATGTGCCAGCCTGAGGTGAGGTCGAATCTGAGAAAGCAGGCCAAGCGAAGGCAGTGCTAAATAGACATTAAAGATTGCGGATCTTAAAAAAATAATTCTGAGCTCATCTAAAAAACTCAACAAGCAGTTAAGTCGATGTTGTGTCTCTTAAGCAGTATACAATTTTGGTTGTCTTGGTTATGTTCATGGTGAATGAATGCACATAACATTAACCAAAGTTTACCAAGTAATTAGTAAACACTACTTGTAAAACACTGTAGCTAGAATAGTATGGCCATAATATTTTTCAACATATAGAGCTGCCCATAAGAGGACACACTCAGAGTATAGATCTAACAATACCTTATGTTTTCTGGATAAGGCATTCCATGCGTAATAATGGTTGATTCCAGAGCAACAATAGGTTTTCTTCTGACAAGGGCCTCCGCAACTTCTGGGTGAACTTGAATAAGCCGCTCTGGCAAGCTGTTAAGGACGGATGATCCAGGACCAAGGGAACGTGATATGCGCCGAGCTATCTGCCTCAAGTGTTTTGCTTGTTTTAGAACTTGATTAGATGTTTGAATATTAAACATCTTCAGATATTTTCTAAAAATCACAGGAAAAAAAATCAAAAATCCATTGATGTTATTTAGAAAAAACCATAGTGTGAATTACCTAATTTACATTTTCACAGACTTCCCATTAATGAGATTTTCCTAAGACAAAATTTTTATAGCTAATTCCCACGATGTATATTGCTTTTTAAAGTGTATTTTGTCAAAATTCCCATGAATGGAAATCAACTTAACAATAACAGTAAT